CACTGGCCATACTGGTGTCCCAGTGGCCATACTGGGATCACACTGGCCATACTGGGATCACACTGGCCATACTGGTGTCCCAGTGGCCATACTGGGATCACACTGGCCATACTGGTGTCCCACTGGCCATACTGGTGTCCCAGTGGCCATACTGGTGTCCCAGTGGCCATACTGGTGTCCCAGTGGCCATACCGGTGTCCCACTGGCCATACTGGTGTCCCAGTGGCCATACTGGTGTCCCAGTGGCCATACTGGTGTCCCAGTGGCCATACTGGTGTCCCACTGGACTCACTGGTGTCGAAGTATTTGCAGCGGCGGGGCCGGATCAGCTCCTGGGGGTCGTGCGAGGCCCCGGCCGGGGCTGGTTCATCATTTGAGGACTGGGTCTCATCTTCCTGCCCTGAGGAATCTTTGATGGTCTCCTCCTGTCATCAAAGAGGAAAAAAAATCAAAATTTATCCCCTGGCAGTGATAAATGGGATTTTTTTGGTAAATTAAAAAAAAAAAATTTAATTTGAATTTTTTTTGGTCAATAATCGACTTTAATTTGCTTTTGATTTGTGGTTTGTTCAAGCTGAGAAAACACAAATTGTAAATTTTTCATGTGTGGAAACATCCTGAGGGTGGTTTTTTTTTTTAAATAGATAAAACATAAATCTTTGGGTTTTTTTAAATCCTTGTGGTTTTTATTGAATTGAAGTTGAAATTTCATTTTGGTCTGTAAAGAATTTTCTGAGTGATTTTCAATAAAAAGGGAAAAGTTTTTATGGACCCTTCCATAAAAATCCATGTGAATAGAATGGTTCAACCCCACAGGATCAAGATCAAAAATTCAAATAAATTCCTTTAATAGAATAAATTCCTTTACTAGAATAAATTCCTTTATTAGAATAAATTTCTTTATTAGAATAAATTCCATTATTAGAATAAATTCCTTTATTAGAATAAATTCCTTAATTTGAATAAATTCCTCAATTTGAATAAATTCCTTAATTAGAATAATTTCCTCAATTTGAATAAATTCCTTTATTAGAATAATTTCCTTTATTCCTTTAATGAGTGAACATATTCTGAGGTTGTTTTTAAGCAGATCAATGGAACACCCAGACTGTAATAAATCAAACATGAACCCAAATGAAATTTTCATTTTTACTTTTTTAAATCCTTGTGGGTTTTATTGAATTCCATTCCATTCTGCGGATTTTAAACTGAATTTAATTTTAAAATCGTAATTAAAAAAAATAAAAAAATTTAAATTTAAATGTAAATCCCCATCCGTTTGGGATGAGAGAGATGCAATTAAAGAGAGAAATCAGAAGGGTAATTAAGAACAAACCTAATTAGTAAAGCAAAGTTTATGACACCAGCCCCGTGAGCTCTGCCATGTCACTGAGCGTCCCGGGTATGCTAATCGCTCATTTGCATATGCAAATGAGCCCGCCATTACCTTGTTCTCCCCGCTGCAGCCGCTGTTGTCGTCGTTGTCGACGTCATCATCGTCCTCTCCCTCCTCCTCCTCCTCTTCCTCCTCCTCCTCCTCCTCCTCCTCCTGCAGGGGCACGGAGCCATCGTAGCCATAGCGGCTCAGCAGCTCCTGGATGGGCATGGCACTCTCCTGGG